AGCCCTGACTCCTCGCCCGCTCACCCCGAGCGCGGTGGGAGGCGGGGGTCCTGCAAAAAAAATAAAAATAAACTAGTTCGAGCTTGAAATAATACTAATCTGCAAGGCCCTCCTGTACCTCAGCGCTTGCGTTTGAGTGATCCACGTGAATTAAACGGACTTTTAGTGTCAGGTATCTTGGCCGGGACCTCCGCGGGCCGTCCGCTCCGATCGCCCCCTCAGAAGCGCGTCGGGGCTGGCGCTCTCTGCGCTGATGCTTCAGGCTCAGCGTGCTGGGAACCGGCGTCGCGGGCAGCGATGCTTTCCCTGGCCGCCGGTGGGGGAACGGGGACCGGGCCGGGGGGGCTACTCGCTGGCCCCACTCCCCTCCGAGTGCCTTACGTGACGGCTTCGTCCTCGGGAGCTCCGCTGCCCGGTTAGTCACAACAAGCGTTAAGCACTGGTGCCTCAGGCCTACAGTTCTTGACAAAGGCCTGTGGAGTTTGACAAGTTCCTGGACCAAATTCCTATCTTAAATAATTTCAGGACGTGTCTAACATACGCTGTATAGCATTGTAGGCTCAATATCAGATGGCACTATATGGGAACCTGAGCCAGCTGTAACTGCTGTAACTCTTCACAGCTGAGAAAAAGAACAGGAGAAAAGGAGCAGGGCAAGAAGTCAAGGGTATGTTTTCCCTGTTGTATTTTTAATGACATTGCCAATTGTTATGACAAACTGGTAGAAAAAATGCCTATAATTAGAATATGGCAAGGAACTGTTGTCAGAGAATGTCTGTTCAGGCTTTTGGGTTTAAAAGTGAAGCCCTAGAAGTATCTTCTAAATGCTTTCATTTTCTCCTTTTCCATTTTAAGAGTACCTGCAAGGTTGAGGGTTTTTTTGGACCTTACTGTCTAGACGATATCAATAAAGCTCTTGATTGGACTAGAGCGTAATGTGTTTTGGAACAGGGTTTTGTCAGGTTAACTGGATAATAAGCAGTAAGCCTTAATCTGCTTTCAGAATTGTATGTATATTAAACAAGGAGTGGGACATCAAGCAAAGGGAGTTAGAAGAAAAATCATGATATTTTTTTTTCTTTGGGAGAATTGCTATAACTAATGGTGGGCTTCTTTACTCTGGTGACAACGGTGTGTAGCTGTTACACACATAGCCACTCTGTAGATCACTACCAGTCTTGAATGAAGAGGCACTAGATAAAGCTTTAAAAAGGATCTGTATTTAAAAATTAAAAAAATCATACTGTAAACAAAGGTGATGGCTTACATGACTTTATTAAATTCAAAGATTTTAAAATTATTTCTATTAAAAGGCTGTTAATCATAATTTTGTAATTAGTTAGTGAAGAAGAGAGACCAAACACTTGTAATAGACATTTTTTTCCACTTCTTCCTCCTGCGATAATTCTCTGGATTAATTAAGATTGCAATCCGAGGTGCCCAGTGCTGTGTGTTTTTTCTTTATTAAGAGAAAAAAGAGCCTTCACCATTCCATAAAATTCCTCTGGCATTAATTTAAATGCTTTATTATTGAATGCATCACAAATATTTCAGCTGTCTGATTGCTGAAATTATTCTGGGTGGAATTCACTCAGGACAGACAAGGGTTATCCTCTTTGCGAGGTATATTCAGCCAGGTACCACAATGGAACGTGTGATGTAAGCTCTGAATATGCTACTGCCAGGTAACTTCAGTCAGTGTCTGGGCAGGAGTAGGAGTTTGGCATCTACCTGACATGTGGGTGAATGTTATGGTGTCTGGCTTCGTGTCTCTTAGATCTATTAAAATCAGTTTCTTTTTGTAGTGAATGAGTTCATAATTTATACGTGTTAATATTGGCAATGCCTGTTGCAATTAGCGTTTGAATTGAACAGACAGAGGGTACTTCATTTACTTCAGGGTTCGGTAAATTACATAGCAGGTGCTGAAGAAGGGAAATACTGTTTTGCTTTGTCATCTGAATTATGAAAAGTGACTGGACTATTGATGATTTGAAGTAAAATGTAAGAGTCTTCCTTTTTTCGGTTTGGAAGGTAAGGAGGCATCACAGTTGTGCTCTTATTTGGGCTGCTCAGAACAACAGTATTGCTACTCAGTAAATGAAGGACACAGCATTATATAGACAGGGCTATAAACAGCCAATCTACTTTTGTATCAAGGCCTCTTCACTATAATCAGCTTATACTCCATTTGCTTAGTATACCAAGCAAACCTGCTGTGACAGTGTTTGTACAGTGTCTTATTCACACTGTCTTTTAAAAGTTTAACAACTGCTTCACCACACGCCCACCTACGGTGCTAGCACTGCCGTACATGTAATGGTTTTCCAACAGCTATTTCCTTCTCTGATTTTCTGAACAACAGGTGATCCCTGTGTATTTGAGCCGGAATTATGGGATTGTTTGACAAGCTGGCAGGATGGCTTGGGCTGAAGAAAAAGGAGGTTCACGTTTTGTGCCTTGGCTTGGACAATAGTGGCAAAACAACAATCATAAATAAACTTAAACCTTCAAATGTAAGTAAGCTTCTTAGTTCTCTGTTGATGGTTTTACTGCAGAATTGATGTTTAAACTGGTTTTGCATGCTGTTATACTAAATGTGATCATGGAAAAGATGTGAAGAGCTTTTTCATTTAGTACAGTGGAATGAATGTATTTTCCAACTAACTAAAACTAAAAGTAAGCATCCACATGCATGTTAAGAAAACATTTCCCAAAAAAACTGTTAATATGGCATGGTTTTCTAAGATCACCCAATAAGGAAGGGTTTATGATGGCTGAAATCTGGATCTGAATCAGTTTAAGTCATTTAAATAATTGCTAGGATTGCAGTTATGAGTGATGTGTCGAACATTTGGGATAAATACAGTTGGTATAACAACATGTACTTGTTTATCATATTTATTTTTATCTCTTCCTGAAAAATAATAGGTATATAGTAAATAATAAAATAAGAAATAACGTGAAGATGCACACTTAATGGTGACTATTTTTAAAGCAGAATAGCTTTCAAAAAAGGTATCATTTATACTTGCAGTTCATTCATCCAGTGGAAAGTGTTTAAGGCCACTAAGAGTGCATAGTATTCTGAGCAAAATGTAAAGTAGGATTAATTTGTGTCTAGGTGTGTTTATGGACTAGAAATAGATGAATTCCGATAGGCATGTTCAAAGCCAGAGGCTTGTACGTGTTGGTTGTACGCATCTCGGAAACCATGATTTCTGCTGTTTACATCAGGACACAACTTTTGGTTTTTAATTTCCATTGAACTTTTCCTGAAGAGTACCACTGGACGTTGTTTTAAAAAATGTAATGTGGTAAAGGGTCTGCTACTTTTACATTCCTGGCAATTATTCTTCCACTGAAAATTAAACAGGTTTATACAGAAATGTTATAAACTGCTTACTATCTGCTGCCAGTCATTTGGGGGAAATTCTACAATTTGTACCAGGCAAAGTGTATATTTATGTACATTTTGAGATCTTTATTGTAGCAGTGCTTTTATGTCATGCCTTAAGCACTGAGGGATTCCTAACTAGAGTTGAACTCAAACTTTAAGATTTATCACAATAAAAAATAGGTATGAGAGAAGGTCCCAAGGGAATTACACAAATAGAATAAATAGAATTTGTTTCCTTTATTGTAAATTGTGTAATGAGAATTTACTTCTGAATGTTTTCATTTCATGTGATGTTTTAGGAGGGTAGCTTTGCGTACTACTCCTGTAAGTCATCATTGTAAGACATGACAGATTCTCCAATGTGCAACAAATGTCATTAGATCAGACTTGATGAAATTGTTTATTTTAGTAAGTTCGATGGACAGATGATTTTGAGCTCTGGATCAACTCAGTCTTCTTAAGAACTGCTGATTTGTCCTAGGAGCAATATATTAGGTGTTTGGCAAATAGAAATGTTTCTGCATCTGTCTGCAGTTGTTTCTTCTGGGCCTGATAAATACATTTGAAATAAATGTTAAAGAAATAATACCTCTTCTGCTCTGCACAAATCTTCCCTTGGAGACCAGAACCGTTGACTAAACTGTTTATGATGGTGGAATGCCATTTTCGTAATGAAGCTGCAGGTGAACAAGCTAAGCTTGCTTCAGTTGTATGTGAGAAGTCAACTGCTTATAGATAGTGTTTTTACTAAGAGACTCTAGAAAGTCTGTGAAACCATTGCATGTGACTTTCTTGGATGGCTCTGCAATCTTAAGGAATGTGACCTACCTCTCTGCTCAGTATCAATGCTCCTTAAAGAAGCTATTCTGTTGTACCAACTTAGCTGTTAGGTTCCTTGGCTAGCTCAGCAGTGAACCTGGTTATCAGACACATCTATCAATAATGCTTTATCTTTTGGCCATTCATCTGTGGTAAATGGTGATTTCTTCCTGTGTTGTAGTAGTCTGAATAGAACTATAGTTAGGCTGGTGTGTAATGTCCACTGTGTGATTCTCTCCATCAAGTAGACTCCTCCAGCCCGTGGATGGAAGCTGCGAGTATGGCCAATCTAATATCTTAATAGAAGTATACCTTCTTTTATCCAAGAGCCTTAGGGTATCGTGCAGACTTGTTTGGGTTGACATTGTGATTTCCAAAGTGCACAAATATTGTGAACTTTGATCTCAATCATAATCCTCAAACTGTTATCTTCCATATTAACCTGTCCCCTGTTTATTTCATAGGTAATATCCACACATACATGAGTACAAAGACTAATGTAAAGGGTAGAACCCAGCTTTTTGAGGCTAAAATGTCTTCAATGCTCTTCTCCAATAGCATTCACTGTATTTCCTAGAAAATACAAAACCTTGATTTTTTAATTACTTTAATTTCTGGGAACTTTTTAAATATAATGTTTCTAGATTTGTAGAAAGTTTTTATATTGCACAGCTTGGGGGTAAATAGATCTGTAATGTATTCATGTTTTAAATATATTTCAATATTTACATTTTCTAACTTGATTGTAAAATTTGTACTTCCTTTTCTTTAAAGGCTCAAACTCAGGACATTGTCCCAACAATAGGATTCAGTATAGAGAAGTTCAAGACCTCCAGGTAGTAGTTTCTTTTATTTTCTCCGTTTAGCAGTAAGTAAGTAATTAATATACAATAGTTGTACTTAATTACCTCTTTCAGTGGGATGTAACTGAGTATAATGTGTGGTGATGTAATGGCACGACATGCAGTTTGCTGAAATGCTGTAGTACCCAGGAGTCCTAATCATGATCCAGGACTGACAGTGTTAGAATATATTGTATGTTTTGTGCTACTATAAATCTATGTATGTGGGGAAAAAAAAAAAAAGAAAAAAATATTATTTTTGCAGTAGTGTGTGTCTGCTGTTAAGAATTTCAGAATTGGGCACTGTTACAGTCTTGAGGAGAAACAGTTGCTTATTATATTCCATTAAGCACTCTTACTGGAGAGACTCTGAAGACATTGCAGTCTAATCTCATTAAATGAAAAATGGTGGCTACAGTGTTAGGAATATAAAGATGTCAGGGACAAAGGTCAGAAAAAGGAGGAAGAAATTGTTAGTTGAATGAAGGCTAAGATTTAGAAAAGAAATGTTGTGAGACATAGTTCAAGGAAGTAACATTAGCTATCATTTTATTATTCTGTAGCCTTCATGGTGTATTTTTAATGGGTGCGGTTAGTCTTCGAGTAGCATGCCCCACTGGATGAGAGATCTGCGAGAAAATTGGTTATTCCTTGACCTGATATGTGAGTCTGATAGGTTTCATGTTTTTAGAGGAGGCTCCACAACTCTCTTCTGTCTCAGTAAAGCACATGGGACAGATTTGTGGTTTGGCTGTGTGAGAATGTAAATTGATTTATATTGCTTTCCTTTATTCTTATTCTGTAGTAGGCGGGATGATCTGCAAATACACTGTATAGGAAGATTAAAAAACCAAACCAACCCACAATGCACCCTAAAACCTCATTAATTTAATATTACAATTCAAAATACGGCTTGGAGGTTGCTAATAACTTTACACATGGCAGAGCAGCTAGTCCAGAATCAGATGATGTCTGTATCTAGAGTAGAAAGGATGTCTGGAGAGCTTCCTTTTCTAAACCTTCTTGTTTTGGTGAGGCCTCCACTTGGGGAGCTATCTGGAACTACCCAAACCAGGAAAGGCTAACTCCAAAGTCAATGTTGCCTCTGTAGGCATGTCAGGAGTGGATCAGAATTTTTTGTCATGTTCCTTAAGTTGTCTTGCTGTATTTAGCATTTGGGTGAAATCTCAAAGTTGTGAAGCCTACTCTTTGTAGCTTGGTCAGGTCACCTGAGTTAACCTGTTACTACCAGAATGTGGTTTTTTGTTGTTGTTGTTTTTTTTTGGATTTTTTTTTTTTTAAAAAAAAAAAAAGAGCTTTTGTTTTGCCTGCAGAAGTCTTTGGAAGTTACTGGTGCCTGTCTAGGGACAGAATTTAGACAGGCTGTGGATTTTAAGTCATGGTTCATCTGAATTTCATTTACTCAACATTAGCAACAATATTCAATACTAACATGATAAAGAGAGGCTGAATGGGAGTTATATTGTATTTGATGTAACTTTTTACAATTGATTTTGTTCTTTTATTCAGAGAATAAACAAACACACTTTCCATTGTGAAATACTTCTATAAGACCACAATACTGAGTAGGATAGCTTGAAGGCAGATAGAGTAACCAAAGTTCCTTTGGGAATCATTCTCAGTTGATTAGGATTAAAGTTGATCTGGCTCTTTTCTGTCAGGGTATCAAAGAAAATAGTTTGGGTTTGGGTTTTGTTCTTTTTTTCGATGCCTCATACGCTTCATTTTCTTTGCAGCTTGTCTTTCACAGTGTTTGATATGTCAGGTCAAGGGAGATACAGAAACCTCTGGGAACATTACTACAAGTAAGCCTGTCAGTTATTTTAAAGCGTTGCTGTTCATATTAGCTGTTGTGTACGTTATGTGAACAGAAAGAAGTATGATGATAGCTAGTGGTTAGGAATCATTCAGAGAAGACTTACATCTGGTGTTTGACAGAAGGTCATTCTGGATAAATACAACTTTTCTTTTTGTTCTAAAAAAATGGAATTTTTTTATATGCTGTTAATCAGCATGCTTTTGGGGACATCCTGTTGACTCAAAGATTGAGGGAGTATACTAGGGATGGGATTTAAATGTTGAAACCTGAAAACTAATCCTGTAAGAAAGCACCAACATGAGGTAGGTTTCCTATTTTATTGTGCTTCTGTAGGTAAGTGACTTAAGACCCAAAAGGTACTGACTGATGGCTGAGATGTTTAGAGGTGAGGGAGATTAACCTCAGAGAATGAGTCATGTGTAACTAAGAACTTGACCAAGTATTCTTAGATTTTATCAAACAGGATATTCAGTTATAACACTGTGGTATTGCCTTATTGGTAATAGACACCATTTTCTGGTTTTTTAACTACTAATGGAACTTGAATCTTCATTTATGTTGTCTCATTGTTATTCTGTAGTATCTGATGATGATCTAAGTAAGGTCAGCAGTAGTAAACCACATAGAAATAGCTTGCAGAAATAGAATGGAAAAATTCTGCAGATTATAATACTGATTAAATACTAATATTTCATGTGATAGAGTTTAAAGTATCCTTTAATTGAGGATTAATCTCCTTTCTGGGCAAAATACATGTTAGCAATCTGAAAACTTGTTGTGTGGGTCAAAGATCTTAATTGTTCAAGAGTGTTAGATGTATGTCTCCTAGATCTTTTGGATTTCAATAACTGATGCCGTGAGGCTGCTCTCAAAATGCTAGCCAAGTGCTTCATAAGCAAATAATTTTTCTGACTGCTGTATTTAATTCCGTAACTGATCCCTTGTGTGGCATAAACTGGTTTTTTCATTGTAAGAGTAAGGGAGTTTCTTAGGTAATGCTGACAGTGAAATGTGTGATTGTATCCACCTCTGTTCTTGACCCAGTGCAGTAGTCACATATTTAAGACCAACTTCTAATAATAATATAAAAATAATAATGTTCTGTTCAGTTTATAAAGTTAAGCAAGATTTAATTTTTCAAGAATTGCAAAATGGCAATCAAATCTGATCAAGTATCTGAGTTGCTTTGGAGTACTTGAAGCTTGCCCTTTTCTTCTGTCTGGCTTGAAACTGTTTTCTAGGATGTCCTCAAAGTACACTTTTTGTAAGTATATGTAAGCTTATGTTGTGTCCCTGTTACTTGTTTGTGAAGTTATTTTTTTGTAGTAAATACATGCTAGGACTCTGATTCCTCTAGAAAAATACTCATTAAAATGCTCATAAAAATTACTTAAGCATTTTCAGCTAATATGCAAAAGCTTTATTTGCTGTTAAAGTTCTTCTGTACTCCAGAAAAGAATGGACCTTCTCATACAATCTTAGACTGGTCAAGTTATTTCTGTTTTTCAGTAGGTCTAGGACTGTTTCCTACCAAAATAGGAAGATAGATGGTGCTGAGGAGTGAAGAATGTATCCATAATGGTGTCTCAGTGAAATGTAAAATGAACAAGAAGTGAATATTACATGAAAATGTAAATTAAAAGTACTTTTTGTGGGTGTTTATAATTGTCCATCTGAATTGGTCAGACTCTATTTTGCTTTCAAATAAGTTTTGATAAATGGAACATTAAGTCATAAAATCAGTAACAGCCTGAAATGAGTTGAATAGTTGTATATATGTTATGACTGTAGATATATTGCCACCAAAATATCTTAATAATTTGAAACAGGTGAAAGCTTTTAACCTATTAAAAGCCAAAGAAATATCCTTTTAAAAGTTCATCTGCATATGCCTACATGTTAAACACCTGTGGACAGACAGTTTTTTCTCAAAATATCATTGACCTTTTTCTAAATAAACTTGGTTTAGTGTAGGAAATAAAGAATTCCTACAAAAACCTGCCTTGAGATTTTCCTTGTCTGACCACATTGTCAGAACAGCAGTTGGTTGTGTTTTCGGAGTTCATTTTTCAGCCTCAGAAGTGAAATCAAACTTTTCTGAAGGGTCTGCGTAGACTGAACTTTGTCTAAGTGACACAGCTAACAACCTCATGTTTCAAAAAAATTATGCAAGTAACTAAAAGACTGAATTTCAGAATTAAGACTGGATTCAAATGTTAATGGTAAATAACACCAACAAAAATTAGATGGGAAAAAAATCAGGTTTGTTTGCTGTTTGGGGGTTTTTTTTTTTTGGTGTTTCTTCTGAAGCCTTAATCACAGTTTAAGAGAACCTATAATTTGCCTCTTTGCTCTTTTTATGTTATGCAGAGAAGGCCAAGCCATTATTTTTGTCATTGATAGCAGTGACAAATTAAGAATGGTTGTGGCCAAAGAAGAACTTGACACCCTTCTGAATCATCCAGGTGAGGAGGCTTTTTTCCCCTTCCGTCTCCATATTTGTTATGTTGTCTTAAGAAAAACCCTTATATGACAAATTCTGCATTCTGAGTACTCTGCAAATATTTTAGCCATTCATGAATACTAGAATAATAGTCTTCAATAAGTTGGGGGGGGGGGGGGG